AAAGTTACAAATATAAGTTTTTAAAAAGAAAATTTAAACTTATTAAATATAAATAGTGTCAAAAAACTGAAACTCTTACAAATTTCATCAAACATGCCTTTTTTTTTTTTTTAAACAGCAAAAATATTATTTATTAATAAGCGGAGTACAAGGTACCTCAACCCATTACCTTGCCATACAAATTCTAACCCTTCTGTATAGTGTCGACCCCTAAAATTGGTGCCATCACCACGTCCGTGTCGGAGAATTGGGTACAGGCAACATAGTGTCGACACCAGATCCAGTGTGTCGGCACTGTACCCGTGTCGAACTTCCTGCCTTCTTTTGCAAAAACTTTATCAAACACAATACAGATCATGAAAAAACAATTCAGCTATTGCCCCACTTTCCCGCACATTCACTGGGCATGCCTTAACTGCCACATAGTCCCCCAAAGACCATCAGTGCTTCAGGCATACAAACTCCTTCGCTCACTGCTCCACCTCCATTACGGATGACATTCTGATGAGATACCTGATCCTTTAGCTAAGAACAGTAGATAAGGATCACCATAAGGCTGTCATGAGTCCACCCCTAGCCCTTTTCCTGCAGCACTATTAGTTTCCTCCCCTTTTGTCTTTCAAACATTCCATAGGTTCCAACATCCAATTGCATAAATTGAAGGAGTACCCTACTGTTCTGTTTTTGATCCATTGGAATGTCCGCAGTTGCACCAACTCAAAAATCCTATTGACATCTTGCTCATGGTTTCTAAAAGCCTTTTCGTTTCTAGCTATCCATATAGACCAGATTGTTGCACTCCAGACTACATCCCAACCTGCCCTGATGTCTACATTCTTAAATGAGGCTAATTGTTGTTCAAAAGATGCATAGCAATTGTCAGCTCTAACAGATGAAATTCTCCACCATTGGAGACATTTGGACCACACTGCATATGCAAACTTGCAATGAAGAAATAGATGATTTATATCTTCAATACTCTCATCGCATAACATGCATGTAGCTAGATGGAGATCTGGAACAATCCCTCTCTTGAACAGATTCACCTTAGTGGGTATTCTATCTTATAGGACTTTCCAAACAAAGGCGCATATTTTTGTGGGGACTAGTCTGCACCAAATTCTTTTATGCAAGTTGATCCTACTCTGTTGGTTGTTGCTGGAAAGAGCTTGATATCCCGATTTAGCTGAATAAATCCCATGATCATGCCTCCACTCCCATCGATCCTTTTGTCCCTTAATTGGTTGGATAGTCTGCAGCATCATCAAACATGCCCTTAGTCAATACTATAACTTAATTTATGATCCTAATTAACTCTAACATAATTAATTATGTGAATACCATAACTCTAACTTAGTACTGTGACCATAGTAGCATATATAGTATCAATATTTATTTATTTATTTGTTGAGTAAAGCCAATATATATTGATCACGCCACTGTCCATGTAAACGCGACTCTTTATTGTACTCCTATGTTGTTCTGCATATGGATGCTATAATAGTTACTCCTACCAGCTCTTTTCTAGTTTTTAGTTTGATTTTTACATGTAATTTGATTTGAGTTGTTTTTCTTTGTATATTTTCTCATGTAGTAACTGAAATTTATTTTTAATTAAGTACAATTACTTAACAAAATTGTGTATAGAAATAATAATTATTTAATTATAATTTATTTACTATATAAAAAAAAAAAACAAAACAAAAAATAAAAAAATAAGGAAAAAAAAAACTATATATAAAAATTAAATTACAATAACTAAAAAAACAGAAAGAGGAACATGTATATTTGAACATTTTTACAATAAAAAAGTGTTATATCATTTGATAGAGGTGGTATCTTTTGATATTATAAGCCATCCCTTTATTTAATATTTTGCAATTTCGTAGTAAAAGTTGGGTTAATTTAATACGCGAAGCTAACAATTACCAACTTATTAGAGAGATGTACAAAACTAAAAGCCCGTCTCATTTCATTTGCACTGTTAAAAGAGAGACCTCAAAGCTAACCATTACCTCAATTTCGTTTGCTCCAACTCTAAGACAAAGGCATATTAAATCCCCAATTTTAAAATATCAAAAGATTTCCTTTGATTGGTATAAAGACAAACATTCCACAATGCATGACAGGAGCAAATTTTATGGGCACGTTTGGTATGCAATTTCTTTGGAAAACAAAATTTGAGAAAGTTGCACTAAAAATAGCTTGATTGGACTTAGGAAATTAAATTTATTGACATGAAAATCAAGATACAATATAATTGATTATAATAATTTAGTAATTGAATATATTGAGCATATAATTTAGGAATATGATTAGTGCAAAATTAGTTTGACACACTTGATTTGACATATTTTTTGATAATTGTCTGGTTTAGTTATTAAAAATATATTATATAAGTATAATTATTTTATCGGTTTTTACATTTTATGTGCATGATTATATCTTTAAATTTATTTATTTTTAATTTCATATTAAGAAATAATAATTTCTTAATGAATGGTGTAATGCACTAAAATGGAATGTGTACTAATTACTCTCTTATAATTTATTACAAAGAGTAAATAAGTGATTATATATAATACAATTACTTATTTCCTCTTTGCAATCAATTACCTCACTTTCCCTTCACTTTTCAAACAAATAGTCTTGAAAAATAGTTTTTAGCATATAATCAATTACTAAACTATTATAATCAATTTTATTGTAACTCGATTTTTTATTAGAAAATTTAATTTCTTAATCCAGACCATCTTATTTTTAGTGCGACTTCCCTTTTTTTTTTTTTTTTTTTTTGAAAAAAATTACATACCGAACAAACCCTATAGTGAATCTTGGCTAGCTAGGAGGGTTAAAGTTCAACTAATTGAAGACAAACTAATGTGATTTATTGATTTTATAAACCTCAATATATATATAATTTGCATTAATATATAAATCAGTCCATCTTTGTAGCCAAATTATTAAACTAACAAAAATAAAAAACAGAGATCAAATCTGTATGTATGATTGATGGAGAATGGAGGTTTTCGTTGTTTCACTTTTGGGAGGGGTAGACAAAAAGAGAAATATTGAATATTTTAGAATTAAGCTTTATCAAAATAAAAAAAAAGAAAATAAAAAAGGGGAAATGCGGTTGCTGAGAGGCGTGGAGGACAGCAAAAGCACACTACAGCAACTGATCGGCCGGAGTGAGAGAGGCTACTAGGGCAAGTGTAATGGGGACCCCAACTGCCCCTTTTTGCATGTGCCTCAACCACTCCTGATGCAAAGAACGCGGCTTTGGACACCGTCCTATCCTTATAAATATCCATCCATCTTCTCTGCATCTCATCACAAACATTCCCATGGCTACTCACAAGGTTCTTGGGACTGTTTTCCTTGTGTTGTTAGGTTTAGGCATTTGTTCTGCCACTAGAGCTCTACTCACATTTGATGAAATAGTTGGCTCACGTGGGCGTGGCGGTGGCGGAGCTGGGTATGGAGGTGTAGGGGAACATGGTGGTGGCTATGGAGCGGGTGGTGGTAGTGGAGGTGGTGGTGGTTATGGTGCTGCTGGTGGGTATGGAGGTGGCGGTGGAGGTGGGAGTGGTGGTGGAGCTGGATATGGTGCTGGAGGAGAGCATGGTGTTGGATATGGAAGTGGTGGTGGTCAAGGTGGGGGTGCTGGCTATGGGGCTGGTGGTGAACATGGTAGTGGAGGCGGTGGAGGAGGAAGTGGTGGTGGTGCTGGATATGGCACTGGAGGACAGCATGGAGGAGGTTATGGAACTGGTGGCGGTGAAGGAGGTGGTGCAGGATATGGTGCTGGTGGAGACCATGGTGTTGGTTACGGTGGTGGCCATGGTGGAGGCGGTGGTGGTGGATATGGCGCAGGAGGAGACCATGGTGTTGGTTATGGTGGGGGAGGTGGCAGTGGAGCTGGTGGTGGCTATGGTGCAGGTGGAGAACATGGTGGTGGTGGGGGAAGTGGTGGAGGAGGTGGAGGTGGTTACGGGGCAGGAGGTGGAGGTGGTTATGGAGCAGGAGGTGGTCATGGAGGTGGATATGGTGGTGCTGGAGGTGCTGGAGGTGGCGGTGGTGGTGGTGGTGGCTCTGGTGGTGGGGGCGGATATGGTGCTGGTGGTGAACATGGGGGTGGATATGGAGGGGGCGGGGGTGCTGGTGGAGGCCATGGTGGCTATGCCCCTTAAAAATCTACAAAGCATCCTATTCCCAAGAGTCCAAGACTCCCAACATAAATAAAAAAAAGTAAGTTGGGCTGAAGAGTATGCTTACAAAGCTGCAAATCAAAGGCTTCCGCTTTCACCCTTATAAGTAGTTGTATCTTTACGCTGATAATTAATCTGTATTCTTAATTATTAATATTAATAAATTTAACTATCAAAATTTACAACACCAAATCCGGACTAAACATTTCCATAAGGAGTTCATTCATGAGATGGACAAAGTAATTAAGCTCATTTGCAGTTTTTTTTTTCTTCTAATTATCTGTTTTAATTGAACTAAATTCTTTGTATAATATCTATAAAATGCATGTCCATATGATAAATAATGTATTTAATTACTTATATTTTACTATTTAAAAACAATTAATAAATTATCCCAAATGGCTACACCAAACAGAATCAATGCACATATACGTGCATACACATATTTTTGTATTAGCTTGCTTTATTGCATTAAGAAATTATCACAGCAAATGAGAAAGAATCAGGTAAAGAGAGGAGGAATTCAATTGTTTTCCTCTGGTTCTTCTTCTTCTTCTTCAAGAATTTGCTTCAAACGATCATGTATAATCAACACTGGAGTAGGCATCGAAGAAGCCGGGGACTCACCTGGGGAGCAGCACTCCCGTTGTCAATCATCGGTTGCCCCTTTATCATGTCCACGCCTCCCTCCCCATTCATCATCACCACATTACATGGAATTTTTTCCGCAAAGAATTCTCTGTTCTTTCTCAGATCCCTGAAAAGAAACCATTGATCTAATACGACAGACTAACATTAAACATAATCAAACTGATACGGATTATGTTTGTTGTCACCTGTCAAAGACGACCCATGTTGCCCGAAGTTTTATGATTCTTTCGACGACAAGCCATGGAAGGGGATACCCCATCACAACTTCTGAGCCACAACTCCATGTATCTGGCAAAGATCGAGAACCGTTTGAAGGTTCACACATCTGGCATCATTCTTCCATTCCTTCCTCTCTTTGATGATAGATGGATGCTAGAAATCAAGCATCCAAACGTCCTGCCATGTCTTTGATGACACCGCGCCCAAACCCAAGCACAAATTCAAAATTCTGTTGTCAAATCCGTGCATAATGCATTCTAAAGAAATACACGTTATGGTGAAAATATATTCTCACAGGGGATGTTGAGCCATGGCATAACTCCGAGCAGAGTGACGGTATAACCAGCCCCAGAAGCCATGATGTTTTCAAGTGCCCACTCGAGAAGTTCTGTGGTGAACTCTCTGGGGCCATTCATAACTATGACAGCGTGTTTAGCAGCAATGGATGATTCCGGGGAGTCGCGAACTCGAAGATCATCACCCAGTAATCTCTTGCCGTGTAAGAGAGGCCTGGGAATGGACGGGGTCTTCACTTTTTTTTTCTTTATGAAAAGAACCATATTGGTGGCTATCTCTCGAAGTCGAAGGGATCTTATTTGTCGTAGTGCAAATGCTTAAAGCAAGAGAGGAGACTGCAACAGAAGGGCTTTGAAGACAGCCCTTGCAATCCTTTTATGGTGGTTTCAAAGTTTGTCTTGATGGAAAGAATTAAAAAGTTGTCTGATATATAACCAAGATTAACTTTGTTTTTCTAGTACGTTCAAATGTGCCAAAATACTGGTGAACCATCTGATGACGCTTGTGCATTTGATGCCACTTTCTAAATTGTACATGTTGCAGAAAATATACTCACTCTATTCACATTTCACAGTCGATGGAATCAAGAGCTAGTAGGGACAAGGTGCTATATTGCTTAGTTAGTCCAAAACTGGAAACAAAATCTTGATATCAACTAGAATTGTGCACTGGAATATCCAGTATGCCTCTTTGAAGAGGGTAATCCAATGTACATAAAAGACAGAATTTTGCATTTATATTGCATTAGATCCTGTTCATAAGAAAATAACTTGAATTAGCAGAAATTTAAACCTGCTCAGCACGAAACTAGTACAGTACAGGGCGCATTAGATTACCATGGTTTCGTCTATGGCGAGGGCTGGTCTTTTTACATGGAGATGATCTCAGTCTTCTCTTATTTACACCACTATCACTTTTTGGTCCCATGATAGCAGCAATGAATCTCTCACCTCGACCAGAAGGCATTTTTTTAGCAAATCTAACAGCTTCAGTTCTCTTTGAATCCATGGCAGGCTTATTCTGTGATTTTTTACGGACACTCCGCTTTACTTCTTTCAAATGATTGGTTGGAATTCGGTAAGATGCTTCTGAAAAAAAGAGAAAAAAAAAAAAAAAAGGCTATTCACCTTACATCTACTTGAGGATTCAGAGGGTGATATGCAAGACAGCTTCAGAGAGTATACTCTACCTGGACTTTTAGATCTGGTTGACGTTTGGGGGGAACCACTACTCTTACAGGCCTTGTCAACATCCTGATTGCACATATTTTCACCAAGTGGAGACACAGTACAGATATTCTCGTCAGACAATCCCTCAAAGCAATCACTTGACCTTGGTGGCATATTAGCATCAATCGTGGGAGTCTCAGCTCCAGATTCATTTAACTCTGTCACGTTTTGCTCTGATCCATAAGCCTCAGCTGCAATACTAGATTCATTGACCGCAGAATCAGTCTTTGTTTCATAACTGAACTGCATTGACATCCTATCAGCAGCATCTTTGGATTCATTGGAGCTGCATTCGTTGTTGTTTCCTGCCCCAGAATCAGAGGGAATTGCACTTTCAATATTATCTAGAACTGACTTTGGAGATAAATTTGAAACATTGGGGTCCAAGCATGGGGCCTGCACTTCTATTACACTGGAGAACCAGGGTATATCTTGCCTTGCATAGAAGAGGATGTACGCCTGTTCAGACAGGACAGATTCCCCTTCAACCATGTGAACCTACCAAAGTGAAAGAAAACTTCATCAGAAAGCCCACAAAATGAACTTCAACTTACCACCAGTCACCAAGACCATGCACAAATTGCATCAAAAGATAAACAACAGTCAGTTATAGTAAAGAACAAATTTCTTTATTATTACCTTTGAGTCATTCAACCTATGCCACATATTTGGAGAGCTTCGAACATAACAGACATAATGTCCAGCAGTAGGAGCCCCATAATGCTTCACAACTGCATAGAGTTGATACTTCAATTCCACCTATTAGAGGAAAAAAAAAGGGCAATTAAATTACATTCAGAAGCAAACGGAAACAACAATATATTAAACAGAGGCACAATATAAGTATATATCCAAAGCCCATAAAAGTCCCTTGCTTTGAATATCACAATTGTCAAGACATACTTTCTTTATGCTCAGTCAAAGTTTTCCAACCACAAAATGATGAATTGCCACTTACATTGTTATCTTGATTGATAATGGTGTAAGGCTGCAAATCCAATTCCAGTGGAAATTCCACATGGTTGTCGATCTTCTTGACAGAATATCCATCAATCTTGAATCTCTTCAAATGGAATGATGCAACTAGAGGGGCCTGCTCCAACAAAAGTTGCTTTTCCATTGCCACTTTTTCATTACAATTACTGCACCTAAGCTTTGCCTCTGGATCTTCAAGTTTCTCCACCTTAGTGAAGGATTCAATAGCACTTGGAAGGGAGTCCACATCTTCAATTTCCAAACTCAAATCAACCATAGGCTCATAAGTGTCCGAACAATGACCACAATTGCAACAACGTAGCTGAAACCATCAAAATATAAAGAGAAATGATAAACTCCAAATTCCCAATTTTGAGAAAAACAACTTTCAAAAGATAAGCAAAGATTTCAGTGCTTATACATACTTGGCTAACAAGACGACCACCAAAAATTCGCTTAACAAGGTTATCATCTCGAGAAGACAAACCATCCTCACTCTTTGACCTCAAATCCAGGCAACAGCTCTCAAGCCTATCTAACAAGCACTGCAAAAATTCATGAGCATCTTCCTGATTGTATTTCTGGAAACATGAAGAAATATCTAAAGGATTTATGAGTTAAGTATGAAAACTAGGTCACTTTGAGGTGGCTTCCCTTCTCAACATGAACTAAAACAAAGCAACATATCATTTTCCTCTGATTAATGGAATGAAACTTATAACAAATTATTGAATGAAAATTCACACATCTAAAATGAAAGGATACGATTCAAATTATCAAAAATGTTTGAAGGTGAGACAACCCATCCTGAAGAATTTAATGATACGTCAATGTGATCACAAAGAGCACAAAGCATGCAGAATCCTTCCCTATGACCTGAGAAAATTTTTACCAAATTAAAAACTAAGAATAATACTAATATTGCTATATAAGTCATTGGGCTTGAAAACAAGAAAGGAAGCAATAGATTCAGTATGGGATGTCATACGATCACATGGCTTCTCATGATCATAAGATCGAAGGCCCTGGACGAGTGGAACAGTATGTGTAAAACATTGCAATATTGCATTGATAAAGCAAGTATTGCCCAAATTCGCAAGTCCTGCCCCCTGGAGAATGGTTAGGAAAAACAGAATTCAACACCCCATGCCATAAAACATTGAAAAGTACTCCAATTCAAAGGAATCACGGACATCAAATGAAAACTAACGTGACATATACAAACATAAAGACAAGTAACTACATAACTGTAAAACTGAAAGTAAAAAAGAACATACCACCCCAGTGGGTTCGATTAAAGTTCTTTCTTCTCTGTGGGGAGACCACCTACGTGGATAATTTTCAGAGCTAGGGTTTGTGAGCCTATCTCCTCTGGCTTCACTCCAAGGAGTCCACGGTCGCCACTGCGATTTTTCGTCCGATTTTGGGGAAGAGCCATCTTCTTCAGAGGCAGGGCCATGTAGAGATAACTCAGAAGGAGGATTTTCTTGGATTTCCGTTTGCATAGCCGAACACGAATCGTAGGGCACCAGAGCAAGGCAAAGCGGTGTCTGCTTAGAAGGCGGTGAGGATTCTGAAGATCCATCCCAGTTTTGATGAGTTAGGTTTTTAACAGGATCAATGTCCATAGCTGAGGAGTCACTAGGGATGTCTGATAACAGAGAATCCAAAGACTGGTGTTCCAGAGCTTGATTCTGAGACGGAAGAGGCAAAGATCGATCAGCTACAGATTCCCCACCCGAAGACATTGAAGACCCACAAACAGATTTCACAGAACAAGCCGTGAAAGCTGAATTCAGCGAATGCCCATTAAAATTCGACGGTGAAACAACGATGGAGGCTTCATTCAAGGCCTCCGCATCAACAAAAGCATCCATCTTCAATGGAGTTCCCGAAGACCCATCAACTGATTCAACCTTCAGAGGCAAAACCTGGAAGGACCCATCACTGTTCTCCCGAGAAATAACGGAGTCGGAGCACGAAGAACCCACTCCCACGGTTTCAAAGACACGGGTCTGCATCGAAAAATAGATAGATGCCAATTGTGCAAGGATGCGCGGAAGAAACCTGAAGAGAGTGAGAATGAGAAAACCCACTCCGGAAATTCTTCGCGGCTGCTCAATTGCGGAAGGTTCAGGAAACGAAAACAAATTTAGGGTTTTTTAAGGAGCGCGTTTGGATCAGAGGAGGGAAAACGAAAAGGCAAAGAGGGAACCGTATTTTTTAGGGGAATTTTTGAAAAGGGAGGGAAAACTCCACCGCCATTAATTTTGGACTTTTCATTTTTCCTTCACAGTTGAGAAAGACAAGACAGAGAAGGGGCGATGGAAACAGCAGGTTGACTTCTTCAAATTTTAACTTAATGGCAATTACCAAATACCACACTGCAGTGGGGTTTGGTTGGATACGGTTTACCTTATCCTTCCTGAAATTTCTCTTCTCTTCTCTTCTATTATTATCTTCTCTTAGAAAAAAATAATAATAAACTCAAAATAAAAATAAAAAATGAAAAAAAGAGAGTATAATATGATTTTTTTTAAGTACTAACTTCTCAATGAAAATACTATTGAGACAATTATTTTATCTCTTTTTTTATATAACCTGATGTATATATAAAAATGTGTAACAAGAAGATTATCCATGTAGTACTGTAATTTTTTTATATTCAAAAATTACATTAAATTTTGATTGTTTTAAAGTCAAATTACGTTAAATCTATGAAGTAAAAACTCTAACAACATTTGTTTTTTTTCACAAGATTCAAATTTAAAAATCTATTTAAAAAAAACTATACTTTTTTTATTTGAATCAATAAATCAAATAAATCTTAAATAAAGAGTATAATATGATAACAAAATTAAAAAGGGATTTTGTATAAATAAGAATATAATTTTTTAAAATTATATTAATTTTTTTAATTAGTTAAGACAACAATTTTTCTTTAAATATAATATTGTAATTTTACTAAAAAAAATTAAGTGGATTTATATTTTATATGTTGACGCGTCAAATGAATTCTGCTAGTAGGCCTCAAGAAACTTGCTGATATCTCTCCAATGTTGAATTCCCCTTATGCCCCTTTCTCAATCCCTCCAAGGCGATAGACTTAATTAATAAGGAAAAAAAAAAAGGTTACTTCCTTAATTAGTGAAATTTAAAAAAGTCATATCCTTATCTACACAAAATTTCAAATTAAAAGGAATAACCCTATGGATTTACCTACATGATAGTAGAAATTAACATAATATTTGGGTAAAAAAAGAGTTTAATAATTCTTAAATTCTTGAAAAAGCAATATTAAGAATTTTCTTTTTTTTATATAATAAAAAAAAATCTTCATTCATTTATTCACCTCACCTCCATATTTACGGTTTAAAAGAGAAAAAGAAAAAAAAATTATTCCTAGTCCACTTAGGTTACTCACTAGAAATTAATAGAGATGCTATGATTTTTATTTAGAATAATAATAATGTGCCACTTGCCTAAAGTGGGGAGGCACTTTTTAGGTAATGAGTTCCCTAGAATATTCTTCTCCATTCCCTTAATTAAATAAAAAATAAAAAAATAAAAAATAAAATAAGAACCCACACCCAACAGCAACTGGACAATCTTAATACATAATCCTCAAATTTCTTTTATCCAATGAATTACAAAGCAACTCCACCAAAGCAATCTGATAGCTGCGTGTCTCATTTGAAAATGTGAAATGTTTACTGATTTAAGAATTAAATCTTTAATTACAAACAACTAATTAAAACTAATTTTTTAACTATTGTCCTTATAAAAAAAAAAAAATTACAAAAGGTTTTTTTTTTTGGCAGTCAATTTTTTTTTTTTTTTTGGGTAAATTTTTGGCAGTCAATTACAAAAGTATATTTGGATAAATCGTTTTCACATATATTCTTAAAATGCAAAACAAAATTATCAAATTGAAAATAAGAACTTACATAGGTCCAGTGACCGCAATTCATTTAATAATATGGTATATTGAAACTCAGTAACATGTTTTGATGGAATTTAATAAACAGAGTTCATAATATCAAATTCCTACTAAAACCTTGCTTGGTTTACAAAGAGATGCAGAGCTACTACAATCACTAAATGAAAAGGCTAAACTCATAATCCAATCCCAAAACAAACCTCAGCACTACAAAATATGAAAACCAGCCTCTAAGCCTGGAGCATTTCGAAATTTTATTTGTCATGTGAAAGAATTTATCATTAAATCTCTTTAATTATATGCACTGCACAAGATATCGGCTGGTAATTTGTAACGTAACACCTTGGATATTTTGTAGACCCTACAGGCACCATGTCACAGGATTCTGTCCTGGAGATCTGTTAGGAGAGAGGATGCCAGCGAGCTTAGCTTCTTTCCAGTTTCTCCTGCTATGTTTTTAAGGGAAGAGATGTCTTGCTGTGCCTGAAATGCCAATATTTTTACACCAAGAGGCAATTAGAAGACACAAGACAGTAAGGAAAGGTTAAAAACAGAACCAAATTTGCATTTTGAAAGGAAAAGGTAACCGTAAACATCACATGACAATGCCATCTACAAACCGCACCTGGAAAGAGAGTCGGTTTATGAGGTCACTAGCAGCAAGGTCAAGAGAATTGTTATCAGGCTCATGGCCAAAAAGATCTGCACTGGAGATGGCCGACTTACCCTGAAAAAACAAAATTGATGGCTGTTAGCATTAATAAAGATGGATGATGATTACTGCCACAGCAGTAAAATTCATTTAAGATACAATCCAAAGCAAGCCATTAACAGTTAACAAAATTTTTAGCAGAAATTTTCTTCATGGTTCTTTAACAAATCAACTCAAGCAGACAGCTTATCAGATCACAGAAATTCACCACACATAATCAACAATTTGGTAATCTATAAAGAAATTGTCCCTTGAAACAAAATATAATAGATAACCTTCCAAAAAGGAAGGGCACATACCGAGAACTTCTGCAAAGAAGTTTGAGCTTCGACATCTGCTGCTTTGTTCTGATCACCAAAAAACTGTGCTGATGAAATAGATTTTGCATTTGAGAACTTTTTCCGGGCCTCATCAGTTTCCTGAATCTGATAGTTACATGTGACACATAAGAACAAAAACACTACAGAGGAAGCATAAGCATCACTCATCAAACCAAACTGTTCATAAAGTAAACTGAGTCCAATCATGTAATGTCTCCAATCCAAGAAAAAAATTGATCTCAACAAAATGTAAAATCTAAAATCTAAAAGGCTGAGCATACTGTGTCAGGAACAAAAACCACAGCACACCAGCAATAAAATCATTCACAATAGGAACGAATGAACAACATATGAATGTACCCATATGATGGCTTAGGCAATAGCCACAAAGGAGCAACATGGCAAAATCTCTCCTCTAAGAGAAGGTCCTAAATTAGAAAGGGGAAAAAAAAATGCCCACATGGATCTGAGGATTTCCAATCCATTTAACAGCAGTACCACTAATAAGTTAACATAAAGAGCCTACACAACATAGCTCCCAAACTTGTATTCATGAGGTTAAAATGTCACAAAATCAGTTCTAAACAAAGTAATTTAGTCCAAGCTAGAACTACCAAGCTATTTATACATAAAATAAATACATATTAATCAGACAGTCAGCAAATGCCCAGACTGCTTACTTGCACTTTTGAAGAATTTGAGCTTGTTTTCTTATGAAAACCACTGTCCATTCCAAAATCTGCAAAGAAGCTTGATGATTTTGGAGGAGCTACATGGCCAAGCACTTGTGGACCACCAGAGCTCAACTCATGAGATTGAACATTTTCTACATACTCGAAGCGAGACGCAAAAGATGAACCAACTGGGGAATTGTTATTAGTTGAGGAAGCAACTGGAATAGCTGGTTCTTCAGGCTTCTGATCATAAAGATTTTCATTTGGCTGCATCAACAACAAAGTTATGGGAAGGCATGTTAAATAACTAAAAATAATCAACTAATAAGTATGAAGAAATTGCTCAAGATAAGTGTGCTTGTAATTATATTAGCATGTGAAAATGGATGATTAAAAGACCTTAGTAGTAAGCTTTCGGGCACCAAGCCCGCTAGTTTTCCCAGTTTTCTTTGCACCAAGAGGCTTCTTGACGGTGTTAGAAACAACTGGATGAGAAGCTCTTGGTGATGCAGATATCCCTGGCGTTTCATGCTTGCCCAAGGTACTTTCTTTTGGAGCTTCGGTGGTCTTGATATCAGGAAGACCATTGGTTGGACCATTGGTAGCTTGTGATGACTGAGAAGCAACAGGTGAAGATGGCAAACCTGCCTCTTCTGCCATACTTTTGGCAACTTCTTTGGAAAGTATTTGCCTATATAAATCGGCCGCTCTTGAAGTATACTTGGCCTCAATTTTGCCTCCATCAGTCCATCCATGCTGCTTAAAGAAAACTTGAGCACGATTGTTTCCCCCATAGATCATCATCCTCAATTGCTCTGGAGACCAGGAGTCTAAATTTGTAGACCTGCATAAATAAACAAGCAGTTCAAATATATATATATATATATATATAGAAAGGTTAAAAGCATGCACAGAATGAATAAACAGAATAAAAAAAGCTTTAAGATTCGCACATCATTGCCGAGAAATTGGTTTTACAATTCTACGGTTGTATTGATCAAAAGATGTCCAACGATTTCAAAATTTTAATATGCCAAAAATGACAATCTTGGAAATTTTGCATTACAGAACTTAATGCAACCACTTCATACACCCTTGAAGGGCTAAATTGGCAAAACCTAAACCTCTTAGAAGAAACCCATCTCATTCAGGAGCTTAAATAATGAAAATTCGAATAGATCTTCTCAATTGCTTTTCTTGGTCCGCTAGACCAGCATGAGATCTCAAATAATAAGTAGCCTCATTCTTATTCGTATTTCAAATTCAATAGAATCCCTTGCATTGATCTCATAAAGGACAAACCGAACATCTTTTATATATTAGCAGCATAAAAACATGCAGAACAAGAAAAATTAAAAACCCAATATTAACACCGAAAAGGAATACCTGACGAAGCTAATGTGGACACCGAGACTCCGGTGAACTGCCGAGCAATCGATGCAGAGAAAGATCCCATATGTTACAGATGCCCATGTAGGATTCTTAGCATTGCAATCAAAACACATCTAATAAACCAACCCAAAAAAAAAAAAAAAAAACAGAAACCCATAATTCAATACATCATAACAACAACAAAATTGAATCAGATCCAACAGCTCAATTTCCAGATCTGAATCAGATCCCCATCATACCCATAAAAAAAATAAATCCCAAAAACTAAAATGGAAATCGAACCAGACAGACCTTGTTTTCTGATTTCGCTTTGAGTTTCCTGAAAACAACGTTCTTGTCGGTGAAACTGTCGGACGCCATCGGAGCTCTTTAGGAAGAAGGAGATGTTTTTTTTTTCCTTTTTTGAAATTTTCCGATCTGGGAGAGAGAAAAGGGGATGGTGTGGTGTTATTCCGAAGGAGGTGAGGTGACGATCACCTCCTCAGGCGAAATTCAGAGGAAAATATAGTAGTGCTGCAAAACCGTAATTTGATTTTACGGAAAGTCGAAAATATTACGGAGGGGTTTTTATTTGGGCTGGTGGAAATAATGGAATGACGATAATAGTACTCCGTGGGGGCACTTCGAATGACGAAATTGACCTTAGACCGCAATCACTAATCAATCCTGGAAAAAGTATCACCGAGCCAACAGGCAGTTTGAAAGGACTAAAGGAGTATTGCTTTATTTGACTCTAAAGAATTATCGTCTTCTTCTTTTTTATTTTTTATTTTTTATTTTTTTATTTTTTATTTTGATTGTATAATGAAAACAATCATTTTTTGTCTCTTATTTTATTCGCATGTCATACGATTCAAATTTAAAATCTCTTATTTTCAATTGAAAAAGATTATCATTGAGTTACGCTAACATTTTTATTTTTTATTTTTTTAATCTAAAGTTTTGTCATTTAAACTATGTCAAGGGTGTTTGTGTTAGAGGGTAGAAAATAGTCATTAATAGTTAATTTTAATTAAATAATTTATACATTTTAGATTATAAATAATTATTATTGTTAAAGAATTTTCTATCTTGTGATCTTAAATCACAAAATAATGGTGTAATAAATACACATTTTATAATTAATGTATATAAAAATTTATAAAAGTTAATTTCAATTTAATTAATTAATTAATTGAAACTGTTTATATAACAATAACATTAAAATAAAAGTTAACTTTTTTATTTTTGTGTAAATTAATTATAAAAATATTTATTTATTGTATCTTAACATATGTTTTAAGGGTATAGATTAATCAAACTTAATTATTAATTGTATCAAAATAATTAATTTATTAACAATTTAAGTAATTCAGTGATAATTTTATTTCATTAAAAATAAAAAAAATTTAAATTTCAATCATATAACATGTAAGTGAAGTAGATAAAAAAATAAAAAAAGCTTACCTCCTATTATGCAAAAAAGGTTAATCCAAACACCTCGTTAAACTATTAAACACTAGCTATTAGAACTACCATAACATTAACTAGCCCTGTAATTCAATAATTAATGTTTTATAGTTTAATATGGTCTGAAGTACGAAATAATTGAGGACACGAATGTTACTAACGAATGTAATCCCACGTTACATGGCCAGATGGAACTTAGACTTGGCCCGTCGAGCTCTACCTTCTAAGAACCTAGGCCAACCCAGAAGGCCCAATAGAATCAAATTCCAACAAAAACCCAGCCTTTTAACGGAGCTTTATTATCCTTACTCCTTAGATTAGAATAGCCCGTTCCGGGAGCCCATTGGGTTTCTATTCATGGGCTCGCCAAATTTTGGTTGTCTGCTCGACTAGTTAACGGCTTATGAACTTAACAATAACTAAACCAAAAAGGTAGTGCTATAGAGATAATTTTTTTATATCATATTATGATATAATTTTTATATGTCAGTAAATAAGTAGATGTATTCAATATCACGAGATCCACATAAATAAAAAGAACCAATCATGTAAATAATATGTTATGTTATACAAAAAAGTGTGATAAGAATATTATCCCAAAATCATTTCCCAAGTGAAAATGTTGAGTTTTGGTCCCAAAATGGACACCTGAGCCTGAGATTAGCCATCCACTTTGTATTCTACACTAAGCCTTTTTGATTCAATGTTTGGTTATTCCTTTTTTTTTTTTTTTCCTCGATTGAGGCAGTGCTTTTTGCAAAATCTCTTCTTTGCAAAAAGTTTGCTTTTAATTGTGAATTGCGGTTACCTCAAAAGTTGCATCAGTAGAGCATAAAATCCTTTTATCACTAATTATAAATGAATAATAATAAATAAGATCAAAATTTAAGATAAATTATATGATATAAGTTATATTATTTAAAATATTAACATATAAATTTTATATCATTTAACAATTAATTTTTTATATTTTTAAAATTTATAATATTATATATTAATTAATTTAATAATATGCTATTAATTGCAAACTTTTGTACTTTCTATCATTACTCATTAAAAATTTAGCAAAATTATTAATTTGCACGTGAAGAAAAACTAGAGATTAATCCCAAAAGGCAAAAACTAGATATCCTCCACACTTAGTGGTAGG